GTAGTACGTACGGTACGTACCGTACTCTCCTCTCTCTCTCTCTTATATATATATATATATATATATATATATATATATATATATAGTAGAGAGAGAGAGAGAGAGAGAGAGAGAGAAATGCTGGCATAGGCTCACTAGCCTACTGCTACTTTATATTTGTCTTTGCAGTCTATACTGTCTTAGAAAGACAAGCTTGGGCCATGTTTGTCTTTGAAGAATAGGCAAAAAGAAGGTAGTCTAGGCATACAAAGGGGAAGATAGTCTCTTCGCATTGTTTTGCAACTTCATTTTTGGAATGGGGTTGCCTTCTCCCGCCAAGTTTTCCACTGGTTGGTGAAAATATTATACCTGGTGGATAGTGAAAAGGAACCACTAATGGGTCATATTTACAGGGCAGTAGAGGTCGCCAAGGAAGATACTAAGTGAAACTTCGGCTATGATGAAAAGAAATGTTCTCCTTTTTGGAAAGTTATACAGGATAAGTGGGACATATAGTCACAGAGTCCTCTCCGCCTTGCAGGACAGTCTTTACTGTTCTTATTTTTATGGAGATCATGAGATAGATACCAAGGTTTGTTTCGTGTATGCCATCACCTTGTGCAACATGAGACTCAACCAGTATACAGAAGTCCAAGACCAAGTGATCGAGCAAGATACGTATAGATATTCAAAGGAGTCATGTGTTACATATATATCGATAAGATAGGGTACCAAAATCAGTCCAGGTAAGTACAACACTTCTCATTGTGAATTTGTGATTTGATTACTTGGTGCTAACTTGACTGCTAAATACACTTATATACTCTATTTATTTTGGTGCAATGTGGCTACATGAAAGCTCCAATCAATTTCCAAAAAGGGCTCTGCACATTTTGAATTTGACTAGTAGTTCATCTGTTGTGAGGACAACTTTTGAGATGGTAATTTCTTAATTTAGTCTGACTCATTGTCCATTTTACGTAGTCTCCTACTACCTACCCCTAACTTATATTATTTTTTTCTTAGTTCTAGTCATGCTTTCATGCATGACCCAATAGATGCATACAAAGAAGTGAAACAAGTTTGATCATAAGAGACCGAACGATATTGTTTTCATTCAGTGTAATCAGAAGTTGGAGGAGCTTTATTAGGAGTTCCATCAAGTCTCCCCCCATTTTGTGTGACATATGGATGATTTCATCGAGTGGGAGGTCAATGCTAAAAACGACGCAATATTCCTAGAGAGTGCTTGAGCTGGAGCCAAGTTTGAGGCACTGGAATGCACCATTGAGCACTGTGCATGCCACTCAATCTCAATCTAGAAGGAAAAGGATGAGGACTGTAAGTGAGGAGGATGATGAGGGGGCGAATTCGAAGGAGATTGTGGATGAAGAGTGATTATTCTTTTTTTCTGGAGGGTTTTTGGGTTTTTTTTTTTTTGGCGGGCGGTAGGTAGGCTCTGATGATGCCAACATCATCATCTGATTCAGATGCAACTGGTGATGGTCTTGGAGATGGAGATGGTGGTTTTCCTATTGGTAGTGATTGTGGTGTTGATGAAACTCAAAATCTTGAGTTAATGAGAACTGTTGTGTTGTTTTGAGTTGTTGTTTTGAGTTTTGACTCATGTGATTTTCTGTTCTGATATTTGATGGTTGATGTGATTTTGTAGCATGGCCTGACTGTGGCATATTTGCATGTAATAACAAATTGTTTATGTAACTGTTTAGTGATCCATACACCTTTGTATGAATTTTGGGCGGGCTGGTTTCAATATTTTAAAGTTTGAGCAATTCAATTCCAAGTTTCAAACTCATGTAGGTACAAGTTTAAACAGTACAATATGACCACACAAATCACCCTTTTTTTAATGAGTACTTTTGTATTTTTTTAGTAAATACTTGTTACATAAGTTCATTTAGGGGAGTTTGATGACGAACCCAAACCCTCAAATACATTCTTGGGGCCCAAATCCTCCTCTCCTCTGTTTGGGCCCGCCTAGGAAACTATGCACCCACCTGGCTGCTAGGCAGCCGAAACTGTGTTTTTCAACACTACCTGTGGGTTGTACCTTTTTTTTTTATTTTTTTGGGTTGGGGAAACCACCGCCCCTAGGTTCTACTTCTGTTTTGACTTGGTGGAATTTGTTTTCATATGATAGTTGGTAGTCTGATGGAAGAAAGCAGTGTTCCTATCTTCTCCTTTTGACCATTGAACTCTTGATCTTTAGTACCAAAACGTCTCTTCGTCTTGAATGGTGAATTGTTACTCGTCTCTTGTTTCTATTCTTTTAGCGCTTTCAACTTAGGTTAAATCTTTGGCTTCCTCTACTAGGTCAAGTTCATTGACTTCGTACAGTTACAATATTTTTCCTACCCCAGAAGTTGCCTTGCTGATTACAACTCCTATCCTTTAGTGTTACCTTCAGCATATGTAACTTTTTCAAAAGTCTAAAGCCCACCCAACTGTAGGCCACAAAGGCAGACCATTGACTGGGAATCACATGGTGCAACTCTGGTACATGAAGGACATTATTTAAAACCAGGAAGCTTTAGGATCACAATTAACAGGGTCGGTGTCGAAGAGGATAGGGACGTGATTGGAAATATTGAACCCTGGGAACTCCCCTTCCTACCCTGTGGAGACTACTCTATTAGCTTCAACAGGGTCGGTAAAAAATGCTTCTCTTTGAAATGGTCTATTTGGTCCTCAAATGGCCATAAGTGTTCTATTTGGTCCATATGGCTGTGAACTTTGAAATAAACTAATTTGAAATTCTGGTTAAGGAGGATGTTAGTGAATGAGATTCTAGTTGTGTTGAGGAAAGGTTTAAGATCATTGGATCCTTTACAACCCAAATACCACCGAAGACCCCTTGGGTGGGGAAGAACCTCCCACTAACATGGTCTCCTACCTCAGATCTGCGGACTCAAACAAAAGAGCATATGGCGTGTGTTTTCTATTGTTATAAAAAAATTGGGGAGATATTGGTGGGAAATAGCTAGGGTGGTGCGCTTCTTGGAATGGTTGCCAACCCCCTTATGTTCCATCAATCAGAGCTTTCATTTGGGAATGGAACTGGAGGCATTCATAGGTTGAAGGGAGCCTCTGGGATCTTGCTTTTTCGAGGCAAAGTGCAAGAATTACTAGTTCCTGGAGAAGGGCTGGCCTTCTCATAGGTGATGTTGCAAGAGAGGCTGTTGAGCTTTCTACACCTTCTACCTTTACCGTTACCTACTTTAACTTTTGCTGCTCTTGATTCTGTTGCTGATATTGCTGGTTGGACCTTCATACTCAGATGCCCATCATGGTGTAACTGGGGTTTTGGAACTGGGGTGAACAATCAACTTCGCAAAGATATATGAGAAGCCTGATGCTGTATTAGGTCGGTGTTACTGAGAGCTCTAAATGATCCTTGTAGTCATGAATGTATCAATGTTTTCTTAAGGTTAATGTGTATCTGGGATCAAAGTACAAGTAATAAACTTGCTTTTATGTTGTGTCGTTGAGATGCCATCCAATGCCCATCAGTGGATGTTGTGTCATTGAGATGCCTGAACTCTACAAATCACCAGATATTTTGTTTTAAATCTCCTTCGAAAGGGAATTCTTTTTTGTAAGTTTTTCCTTCCTCTGGGCGTGCTTTTTCCCAACCATTGAAAGTATCCTTTGATAAAGGGTGCTTCAGTGGTTTCTTTCCATGTACTCTGCAATAAACTTGCTTCAGATTATTGTTTGACTAGTCTTGGCTAAACACATTTAGCTGGGTTAAAAAGCAATGCAATATTCCTTCTTAATTGCTTTTTGAACTCCCATACCTCTGCCACGAATGTCCTGATTGTGCTTGAAAAGAAAGGAATATAGAATCAGCCTATACCTACAACCTGAGGAGAGCTTCCGCCATTGATCTACTACAGAAGATGGTTGTATTTAATTTTTATCATCTTACTTGAATAACACTACTAATAACTGATTTAATCTAAGCTGAAAGCCTATTTAGAATACAAGTTGTCACTGCCCATTCAGCAATAATCTTGGTATAAATCCGTGAGCGTGCCTTACTATGCATGAGTACAGGTTTATATTTCAGGCACAAGAAGGTCCTTGTTCATTTAATATTTTGTCAAACGTTTTTTGTGAAAATGATAAATCAGTTCTCTTCTCTATTACCATTAAAATTTGTAAGAGAAATCCAGACACAAAGTTCTGATTGGTTTTATCCTGCACAAGGACTCCAATTGGCTCTAAAAGCATGTCGTCAATCATTTACTTTTCCTGATTAGGATCTTTTAAATGCATATGGAGGCCAATAAAGCTATATTTCCATTAGAGGTGTATTTATTGAAGTCAAGAGGACCTTGTATTTCTATTTGGCAACATTGTTTAAAAACCTTGTCTTTGTTTTGCATGCAGCTCTCAAATAAGAGAAAGGTCACTATTCAGGATTTCAGAGGGAAGACGTTGGTATCTATAAGGGAGTACTATGAAAAAGATGGGAAAGAGCTTCCTTCAAGTAAAGGTATAATCGCATGCTCATGCTATTATTAATCTCTAATTACTTTTTGTGGGTGGCCTCATTATTGAATCTTTTGTGCTTCCCGAGTTTAATGTTGAATGTATTAGTTGTAAGCATGTCCATAAACAAAAACATGGGAGAAGAATAGGAGAATGGATAGTATTGCTCAAAAATATTATTTAGATGCATGCAATATCTTAGAATAAATTGATGGCATGGCAGTTTGATTAATATTTGTGTCCTTGATTATTATTGGAAATATAATAAGAAAGGGAAAATTGAAGGCATGATATCAACTCGGAATGAAATAAGAAGAGAGTGGAAGATTTCAATTACATGGTCATTTTATTTATTGAAGTTATACGTGTATCACCTATATTTTGATGAAACATAAAAAATTAGTTACAGTTGTGAAAACAAACAAGTATGAAATTATAGTTTCAGATACAAAGGCAAACATGCTGTAAAAGATCATCTGAATTTTTTAATAAATATGCATTTTTTGTATTTTTAAAGAAACAAAAAAAATAATTGAAGACCAATTATCACCAATCTTGTACATTTTCATGGTCCTGTTATATATAGAGCTGGCATACTGTACATTATTCCCTCAGGAAAAGACCTATTTAGGAGGAATTTTTTAATGTAATTTTGGGGTCAATCATTATAATCATCAGATGAGTTTTTCCAAACAAACAAACAAGAAAATTGCATTTTGAGTTTGATAGAAAGCCGTTGTTTTTCAAGCACTTACAGTGTGTATGATTTTCTTTTTTCCTTTTTAAGTTGGTCGCTAGGTTTGGGTTCTGAATAAGGTGTTATCTTGGGGGGGGGTGAATCTCCGAAATGGAAGAAATTTTGGGTCACATATTTGTCTTTATTGTGTTTTTTAGAATCATTTTCAGCAATCCTTGATTTCACGTCTTCTTTCCTTTTCGTTTTTGACATGCAGGAATAAGTCTATCAACTGAACAGTGGGAAGCTTTCAGGAATGCTGTTCCCGCTATTGAAGAAGCCATTGAAAAGCTACAGTCCAGGTTAAATTGAGGTGTTTCCATAATTCCCACTTGTAAAACCCCAGAAACCCATAATCATGGTAAGTTTGAGCGTTCCTGAACATCAAACTGTGGAACCCCAAAATGCCATAGCCATAGTAATATGTAGGAGTGAACTATCCAAAACACATCAGTTATTAGACCTATCCTTTTTCTTGTCGGAAGATGCAGTTGACTTTTGCCCCTTTCAATTCAAGTTCGCTTTGTAAGATAGTGTAATGAACGGAGTTTTGAAGCTCCTGCATCGATGTATCAGTGGATTATTGATCCGCAGCTAACATTTCGAAATATCTCGACCTTTTTATTTAGCTGTAACGGGTGGATGCATTTCGGGAAATATAGAGTGGGGAGTTTGGAATAGGTGCTATTGGAATAGAGAGAAAATTATAAAGATAATGGGAACCCAAGTTGTGAATCACTAATGCATAGGATCAGTTAAATGTCTCTTGGCAAGAGTGTAGTATTAGGAGTGATCTGATCTCCTGGGAAGTCCTTGTGTGTTAGGGCCCGTCATCCCCACTCATTCACTCACAAAGTATAAGCGATCTTTAGAATTGCATAGAAATCTATGTGATATTACTTCCTCTATTTTGAACCAGTTATTGTATCGCTATCTTTTTGGGTTTTCTACTTTTAGCATCTGTGGCCATTGTTTTTGCTAAATTTACAGTATTGTTTTACTGTTTGGGTAATATCTTTTTGGGTAATATTTAGATCGATACCTATGCCTTATATTAATTGTATTTTATCAATACATATTTCGTGTATTATTCTTATATTTCTTGGAAAGTAATTTTTTTTTTTTATACTTACAAATAGGAAAAATAGGGAAAGAACCTACTTCAAACCAACACTCCCAAACGACAAACGATTACTACCCTACTCGATCAATAATCTTGGAAATCTTGCCGTCCACTCGAAGCAAGAAAGCCTATTTCTTTCTGGTCCCTTTGTCCAAACTCCACTAACTTGAAACCACATCAAAGCACTGTCCCTTATGCAAGAGTCACACGTGCCAGGGTTGGGGCGGCACTAATGATGGATTAATTTATTTTTAGATGATATCAGACTTGGTTTTTTCTTTACTACAATTTGCAATTTGTGTTGGATATACTTCCCATTTGTCAAATATTCTAATATTTATTACTATTCTTTATTTCTATATATCTTGATTACTAATTAGGTTGCCTTTTTTTTTCTCTTAATGTGCCATCCACACATGCTGCCATTAATTATTTTTTATTTGGTGCTTGTTATAGAAAAATAATTATCTTTTAATGACTCTAGAAAATAAGAAACTAGTTTTGTTTCTTTTGATGAAAGTTTTAAGAATATAATGTTCTAAATACACATCTTTGTGCTTAAAGAATGGGTTTATAACTAATTTCTGGTTTTAGTACTGCAATATAAAATGTTTATGTTCATTGTTTACATGAGATTTTTTGGAATATATAATTTTAAATACAAATTGTTATGCTTTGAGATTACTTTATGACTAATTTACTAATTTTCTATTTTGAACTTTTTTTTTATGCCGTTTGAACTACAATTTTTAATGCCTTGAGAAATTAGGTTCATGCTTTTCTTCTTGGGAAAATTAAAAAAAAAACCTAATGCCGGCCCGCATTGTACATAGTGCCGGAGCCCTAC